GACCAAAGCCACCGCAAGTGCTGCAGACACACCCAAGCTCTCTCCGCAGCATAGTTTTCAACTCAGGCTATTGAGCGCCTTCGGAATCTGCACGACCTGCATACAAACCTTCTCAAACGACTTTGATGGCCCCGACATTTCCATGAATTGGTTGAAATCGCCTGTTGCCGGCGTGAATTTCTTCGGATCTCCTGTAATGAGAAACGTGAGAGTGAAACTGTGGCGGGTTCCATTGAACATCTCCTTCAACTTATCGCGAAATTCCTTTGCAAGGTTGTGCATTGGGGATGTGGTCACCTGGATGCCGTGGTTGAACTCCAGCAGGTAGTGGATGCCCGGGTAACCAGCTGGGCTACTCAAAACCTGTGGCGATAGGGTTCCGTTCTGCAATGCCGTCTTCCATCTGGCCTCAAAAATGGTTGTGGAATCGCATTCCACTAACTGCAAGTTTTGCGCGATCATCAAGTCGTCTTTGCACCTCTCCCGTTGCCAGGAAGCACGGTCAGCGAAGCCCTTATTGGTGATAGTCCAGGCTGCAAACTGCTTTGGAAACCACGAGAAGGTCAACAGGGGTCCGACAAACTTTTGGAACCAGTACCTCGCGGGCTCATCTTGCTTGCTCCAGAGCTCAACCAGTTTCTCATAGTGCGCGTTCGCAACCAGCGCGGCAGCGCCGGCGCAGCAGAAATCAACCTCGTACCTGAGGGCATCCTTGCTGATGTAGGTGAAGAGGCGGGTGAGAAGCTTCTTGCCTTGGTTGTCCAAGGTGCCACGGAAAGCAGGCTGCAAGTGCTGCCAATCCATGGCCTCAGATTCCTGGTCCTTCACATACTTATCGAAGTCTGATTCCGTTGACAAAAGGGCCCGCAGATTTCCTCCGATCTTGTCGTACCTAGACTGCATGTCCACACTGAGTTGAAGGTGATCGCATGCGACTTGAAGCTCAGATTTCGACCACGATTCAATATAGACGCAGCAGCCACCGTCTTTAATAAATTTTGAATAGTGGTCCCGTTCTGGGCTGCACGCGAGCACGGTCTTGGTAGCCAACTTCAAGGTGGTGGCTCTCTCGGAAGCGTCCACCAGGTACCAGTTGTTGGGCTCCTGCAAATACTCGCAGCCTGATGGCTTCCAATCTTCGATCTGCTGGCGCTGCGCCTTCCAGTGGCCATCCTGGCCCTTGGTGAAAAGGAAGACCGCCCCACCCTCCCGGGCTTCATACACGATCGCCTCGGGCTGCTGAATCCCTTCCAGCTTCTTGCCCGTCACCAGGTGCCAGAGGCCCAGCGCCAGATTGCGGCTCTTCCCGATGCCCGGGACGCCCAACATGGCCACGCGCTCGATGTCTCCCTTCATGAGCTCGAAGGTCGCCTGCCAGGCCCGGCGCGTCGTGTTGCGCGTCAATAATTTTGGCCCGCTCTGGGCGTATGGCTTTGCGGGCAAGGACTTCGTGAGGTGGAAGACCTGCACACCTGCAACAGTGGCGCAGGCAAAAGAGATCACCCACCCCAAGCCCCCAAGCGGCCTTCATCCAAGTTCTTCGGCGTAGCCTCGGCCAGCTCCTGGATGAACTCCGTGGCGCTCAGGCCGTCCTCACGAACTTCCCCCAGTGACGCCAAGGCACCCAGTCGGCTGAGGCCCCCGCCTGGAATCCGCTTGCGGCTGTCAGCGGGGCAGACACAGCAGCGATGCGCTTGGCCAGGACTTTGCGCGGCCCCATGGCAATGACCATCTTGTCCATATCATCTAAAGTTAACTCCAGGAGCGCGGTGCCCCTCACATCGTTCTGCTTCAAAATCTCGGTAATGCTCTGCCCCTTGTCGGCGTAGTTCTCCTCTTCCAAGGCCGCCTGGACCCAAGAACTGACCTGCCATCCATACTCGCAGACCCGAAGCTCAAGCAAGAGACATCGCAAAGCGCCTCATCCACCCCAAACTCCTGGATCTCCTCAGCTGTCTTCTGCAGCCAGTCCTGCGCCCATTGGCACAGCGTAAACAATGCTCCAGTCTGCAAACCTTCACGGACAGCCCGCCTGATCC